GCTAGCCATTTTAATTGGATATAAGTTTTAGATTTTATCATCCTTCTGTAAGATAGATTTTATTCTTAAGATGTTGTGATTTTAATAAGTTCCGAGCCTTGTGCACTTGTGGGACTTGTTTCACGAGTGCACGGTGTCTGCCACATCCTCGGATTTGGGTTTTGGGGCGTGACAGATTAAGTGGTATCAGAGCTTAGATTTAATTAAGATTTCATGATGTTAGAGCCTAGGTTTAAATTAAATACCTAGGATTTGTTTAGAACTTAGCTGGCCAATGAATTTTAGAACCGTGGTGAGATGAGTGATGGGGTTATATAAGGGATGATTCTGATTTGTGTCGCCTGAATTTTCTGATTCACTTTGATGAGATAGTAATTCAGTTAGTTCTTGTTATCTGCTGTTGGTGAGAATTTTTTTGAAATTAATCTTGCTCACTATGCTCTTAGGACCATGTTTGAAACTTGGTCCCTTGGGATAGTATGCTTGGTTTTGGTTGTGGCAGGATGAATAAGGCCTTCCACATTAGGTCTGTTTGTTTAAGTATTCATCTGGGCATTCATATATGAATGCAAACATAGACAAATATGAGCATATACACGCATTCATGCATGCACACATGGGCATTTATACATGCATGCACACATGGGCATTTATACATGCATGCACAGAGGCATTCATTCATACATGCATATACATGCATTCATCCATTCATGATTCTATATATCCGAGTGATATTTATCAGTCTCGGATAGGGTTTCATCTCTTAGTTGTACTCATCATTAGATTCATTGCCATGTTGTGCTTGATGAGTGCCGGGTCTTGATTTGAGTCAAGGGTACCACATAATCACGACAATAACCTTCGAGTTTAGTGACTTGTGTTGAGGCGTGAAGTTATCTCCCGCTTCCCAAATGGCCATTGGGGAGGGTGGAGATTGAGATGTTAGGGTAGTGATGAGTACCTATTCCCTGTAAAGTGAATCTGACTATTGAAACTTTGTAATTGTTAGCCATGTATCTTGAGATTGATTTCCTTGTGATAGTTGTGGTTGATATCAGGGTGGCGCAGCGGAAGCGTAGTTAGGCCATGTTCTATTCATGGATGGTTGGTAGAATCTTTGTTTTGTCTCGGATTGTGTGAAGCTATTCACCAATCGAAATGATCCTCAATTTGAGTTTTGGAGACAAAACTCCTTTTTAGGATGGGTGAATGTAATATCCTAAATTTTTGGGAATTTTATAAATTAAGTTAGGGGACTTATTTTGGGAGAAATATTGTTTTGGGGCCTAATAGCTAAAAACTCAAAAGTTGAGGGACTTAAAAGAAAGGAAATGAAATAAGGATAAGCTGCTTTTTCTTTCTTTCTTTTCTTCCTCATCAAGTCGTGACTTGCTCTTCTTCTTCTTCTCCCGACAGCCCCCTAAGCCCCTCTAGCCACCGACTCATTTCTTTGAGAAAATTTGTGGCAAAGCTTGAATTTTCTCCTTCTTTCTTGTTCAATCACAAGATTTGGGGCTTCGAATTCACTCTCTTAACCCAGAAATTCCAGATTTGTTCTACTCTTTCTCCCTCTGTCCGCTGGCCTCTGCTATGTGAGGTTGAGTTCGGTTTTTGGTAAGAAATAGCCTAGAGTTCGTCCTTCTAGCCTTGATTCAGGTTGGGTTATTCTAATTTCTTTTTATTTCCCTCAATTTAGAGATAGCCTGTGAGTCCCTTGCAGAATTGCCGCCGACTTCTTCCCTCCACCAGGTCTGGTTTTGCAGCTGGCTGGAAATTTTGGTATGTTGACAGCCCCATTAAATCCAAAATTACCCATTTAATTGCTGGGTTTTGTCCATTTAGTTGATGCTCTGTGTTGTCCGAAATCTACTGAAAAATGGGGATGAACTCCGGTAGCAATTAGAGCATAATTAAGCTTAATTAAGGTAGAATTAGCTTGATTAATTGCTGTGATGTTTATATGAAAATCTCATGTGTGTGAGTTGTGGTTTGCTAAAGCCATGCTCTCCATGTGTTGCCCATGAGAAATGGGGAAATTTTGGTAGCTTAAGCTATGTTTTTAAGCTTGGTTTAAGTGTAAATTAGCTTGAATTGGGTTGTTGTGATTTTGGAGAAAAATCTCGTGAGATTAATTATTGTTTTGCCAATTTTTGGAAGATACAGTTACTGTTCATGGATACTGTTCACGAGCACTGTTCACACATTGATGGCCAACAATTAACGGGGATTTAAATGTTTAGTTTGTAATATAAGAACAAATTTGGAGATGTCCGGTCATGTGGAGACCAATAGAAATAGCATTGTGATTAGGGGTAGTCCCAATTATGATTTCATTTTGAATTTGTGGTAGTGCGGTATTAACTTTGGAATATTGTGATTAGGTTTTGATCGTTTTGTCACCATAGCACTTGGGTTAAGCATTTTGTTCTGTGCGAGTAAGGTAAGTAAATTATGGTAAAGCCTTTCAATTTTAAAGCATATTTTAAATTGTTTTTGAGATGGTGGCAAGTTTTAAATTGATTTTATCAGCATCTGAGTGTGATTAAACTGAAATGAAAATTGTGATGATTTTTATGAAAATTATTATTTTCTGGAATTGAGCATGATTGGAATGAAAATAAAAATTTCATTGTTTTTCTCGAGTTGAGCATGCCCATATGAAATTTTCCGATTTATTCTTGAAATTGAGATTAATAGTGAATTATGGATTTTCTGTAAATTATGCATGGTTTTGTCTCTGATATAGTCATGATTACTAACGCCCGCTAGTGGGAGTTTGCAAACGCTAGCACATGTCGACATGTATTTCTGTAGAACCGGTTCATCCTGCCAATGGGGTTAAACATTGGTTATTACTGACGTTTGCCAGTGGGAGTTGTTAAACACTGGTACCATTACTGATG